ATTTCTCTCTCTAATAAACTCTCGTCATTATTTCTCTCTCTCTCTAATAAACTCTCGTCATTATTTCTCTCTCTCTAATAAACTCTCGTCATTATTTCTCTCTCTCTCTCTCTAATAACCTCACTTCATTATTTCACTTTCTAATAACCTCTCCTCATTCTTTCTTTCTCTAATAACCTCTCTTCATTCTTTTCTCTCTTTTTTATTTCTTCTTCATTCTCTCTCGCTTTTGCTTCCTTTAATTAACTTTGTCTCTTTCTTTCTTTTCATCTCTTTCCTACAGGCTTGGGCAATCTGGTAAACAGAAAATCTTGCTCAAGATAACTTTTGTATTTAGGATATAGACAATATTAAAATCCCTTTCATTTAGTCTGTAAAGGTGATGGCCTGACACTCCTTTTCAAGTGCCATGTCTCTACAGGATGTAGTTGATCACATCTCTCCAAGACTTCTTTTTCTTTAATACCTATAAACTATCCATTGGCACATGATATTTGGGGAAAAGAGACTGAAGTGATTTCTTGTTGCTTTTTCTATGGTTTTGAATTGTTCTTTTCCTAATCAAGGCTAGAGAGCCTAGTCTGCTATTGCATCACAACAGCGGGTGAATGCAAAGAGAAAATTGAAGGCAAGCCTTTCACAAGAGCATTAATATGAAGTAAAGAAAAAGCTGCCTCTGCTAGAATTTGAACCAATTCCATTTTCCAAAACATTAATTCACTCACACCCTCACTATGACCCATATAAATGTTAACTTGTTTTTCTTGTTACTATCTATATTGGCATTAATGTGCAAGAGTATTACTATTGTGTATGTGTGTTCCCTGGGTAAAAATAAAAACTAACAGACAATAGTAAATGACTGAAGATTGTATAATGTCTAAAAGAGATGAGGAAAGACCCCCATAATTCTTTAAAATTCCTACATGCTAAGAGTCACAGGATGATCTCTTCCTCTTTATATTTAACCCCTAAACTTTTTCAATTGATTGGTTTGTTTTTTTACAGCTTACCCTTTACAGGTTATTTAAAGCCAGGTAAATATTTTTAGATTGTTAAGACAATTTTTTGGTGGTGGTGGTGAGATAATGTTTTATTGATACAAGTCCTACTGATTAACCCATAGCTAGAGGAAAAGAGGTGGATTCATACCTTTCCCAAGAGTATTTGCAAGTAAGTGAATATAACAAACCTGACTGGAATTGGAATTTGGCTCACCGATTTCCAATACTGAGCTGTTATCGATGATACAACTAAAGAACACAATCTATTATAGAGAAAATACCTAGAAGGAATACTAATAAGTGTGGGTAATTCAGTTTGCCCATCGTTTGTGATGACTGAAATGGATTAAAGTGCTTTCTTTCGTCAAATCCTCCGGTCTACCAACTGAGCTGTTGCTAGTGACCTCTTATTCTCTCAGTCTTGTTAGTACGCACGTGTGCCATCATGCCAACAATGCGTTCTCTGGTTTTCCTCCCAGACTCGCTATTTATGCCCGTGTTGGGGGCAACTAAAATTTGCATATGAGACTTACTTTTCATTTGCCCAAGACTTCCAGCTTTATAAATTCAAGCTGGTTTGAATTCTTAGTCTTTTTTATTTGTTTCCTTTGTACGTCTGCCTGTGATATGGGAATTTGGGAATAATCCATTTCTCTTTTACTACCAGTCACAATCTTTCAACAGGACCTGACATGCCATGCAAATTCGCTTTGTGGGAGGTAGGTCTTCTCGTTCCTTACAGTAAATATCCAAGAAACACACCTTCATATCACCAATATTCATAAAATCAAAACTTGAAAAATATAAAATCCAAGCATTTGCGGATGATGCGATCTGGTAGCACACATTCATTTCCAACCTTTGTCGTATTTATTGTGCAATTAAAACACTTTATAAAGCCAATTTTTAATATCACTTGAATTATGTTAACATTTCAAAAATTAAGCATAAACACAGATGTCATAAATTATATACATCTACACAACCAAAGAAAACAAAATGAGAGATTTAGATGTCTGAAAGAATCAGCATATATGTCCTTAGTAGGCCTAGCATAGAAATAAATACAACATAGGAGCCGTTAATAAAGAAAGAGAAATGACAGCAAGTCTTCAACTGCAGCAGCAGCAGTTAAAACCAGACAGGCAGCAGCAGTTGCAATTGCAGCAGGCAGATTAGGTTTAAAGCTCCAAGTTCCCTACAGTGAATTGTCCTATAGGACTATGGCCTAGTGTATTAAAGCATCGGTTCTTAGATTGAGTGACATTGTTTGTGAGATCTGGATTGGGCAGTGTGTACTTGAACTCAATGGAAGAGGATGATCAATACTAATAAATAAGAACTAGATGAGATTTCTCTAGGTATTTACAATGGAATGAGAACAGTCTACTCCCGTAAATTAAATAAAGGGTTCAGTTCAGAATTCCCCATAGACTACCCATACCGATATACACCTGAAGAAGGCCGGAGGATACAATGACTGAAACATTGTGATAACAACAACAAAGATGAGGACAATAGTCTGGATATAAATAAAATAATAAATAATGATAATTCCCAATCCCAGAAATTCAAACTGACACAGGCAAACACTAATGCCATAAGATATACAAGGGTCAGCTGAAATGTCTATAGGCTGACCAAGATATAAATGTAAGTAGACAGACCAATAGACTAAAAGACATGTAAGTGTTCCAAAATACAACAGCTGGCTGACCAGCTGTTGTATCTACTACATTTATATCTTGGTCAGCCTATGAACTTTTTCAGCTGACCCTCATACACATAACATACAGCAAAAAAAAAAAAAAAAAAAAATGAAACAACATAATTTGAAAACTGAAATGTAACTCCACATTATTACAATTCACCAAAATTCTGATGAAGCTAATAGTGAAACATTAATGCCAAATAATTCAAAGTTGCTTCTTTTGATGGTTAGTCCTGGGTATGACAATAAACTACATCTGGCAGCAAGGCCTTTCATCGAGAGATTGGAGGTTTTGAGGAGCATGGATCCACCTATTAATTTCTGTTGTTCCTCCACTCTAACCCAGAGTGGTAGCACCTGTTAGGGTCCCAGATATGGCCAAATAGTGACCCCCCCAAACAAAACACTATGAAAGTATAAAAAACATTTTTACAGTAAAAAATACCAGCAATACATTTTTAAATACAATAAATTACCAACAATACATTAATCAACATGAAAGAACGTTTTCATGATATTAATCATCCAATTTCTTAAATCAAACTGTATTCCAAAATATAACTTCAGCAAAACTACAACATAAAACACACATATTACTGCCATTAGTAATTATATCCACACCAACATGTATATGTTCAAAAGCTGAGTATCATCTACCATGTATTCAATTGTGAAAGCAGAATAACATTTTTATTACTTCAAAATTCCCAAGAAAATTAAATTTCGGCATTAAATGACCCACAAGTAGTTGATATGCTGTTAAACAGACAAATTAATCAATCATTTGATGGTAACTTTTTGATGTGAAGTAATAATCCTAATTCACTATAACTTTGTCATTTTTTTTTCTTTCTTTTTAGTCATTTCACCCCCATGTAAGGCAATAAACTCCCTATGACATAAGAGGGTTACTGAATATTAAAGGATATGACAAAAATATATTGTTAAGGAGAGAGGAGAATAAAAGAACAAGAATTAGGACAGAAGATAGTGATTGACATCACATTTAAATTTTTGAAGATCAAAGTTGACTGGAAAGCAAGAAGCCGGAAGAGAGTTTCATGAACAAGACGTGCAATAGAAGAAACTGTTAGCATAGAACTTACGGTTTACATCTAGCTATTTCAGTTGTTGAAAATATCTGGAGTTCTTTTTACTTTGCTCATATTTTTCTATTGATTAAGTACTCAAAATTACAAATTTAGAAAAAAAAAAAAAAAATTAAGAAATCATGTATTAGCATATTTGTTTTAGGAGGATTAATGAATTTACATACCAAATCAGACCCCCTATTAAATTTTATAAAATTTAACTAAAAAAATTTTTTTCAGTTTTCATGACCATGAGTGGTTAATCTATAGTAACATAGGACATAGTTATGTTGTGTGTGTGTATATATATAAGATAGAAAAAAAATTGAGAAAAATAAGTAATTATTTCGGATGGCAGTGTCTTATTTTTTTCCATATTATTATTGATTAAGCACTTCAAATTCTAAATTAAAAAAAAAAATTTCATATTTTTTAAATTTTAATAAGTCATTTTGGCTTTTTTAGAGGGATCAGTTTATAATGAAATTATATATAAGACAAGACCCACTATTAAATTTTATAAAATAAAAAAAAGAATTTATTTTTCATGACCTTGAGTGTTTAATCTATAGTAATATATATAAAAAAATTTGAGAAAAACAAAAGTGATTATTTTTGGTCGCAGTGCCTTTTCTTTTCTTTTTCATATTATTATCAATTAAGCATTCCAAAGTACAAATTTTGAAAATTTTAAGAAGTCCTGTTGTATAAACATATTTGTTTCGGCTTTTGTAGAGGTATCAATTTACAATAAATTTACATTTTTTTTTTGTTTTGTTTTTTTACAGTAAGGTTAACCCTTTACAAGGCCCAGAAGCCACTGGAGGTAGGGGCTTATAATAAGGGATAGTTTATATGGATAGGAGGGAAAGTTAACAGTTGACTCTAGAATTGAACAGGTTAATATTTTAGTGACCAGAGAATCTGTTCCATAGGGCAGTGGTTTGCAGGAAGAAGCTGTTTAAGTGAAACTTCACACCAATGGAATTGTTAATTTTATAAAATAATATTCATATATTATAAAATAAATTTACATATTATTGTTAATTTTATAACACTTTATTTAAAAAAAAAAAAAAAAAAAAAAAAATTTGTGATTTCGGATGTTTCGTCTATAAGTAATATGAAAAAAATGATTAATTCTGGTCGCAGTGGTTACTGTCCAATGTCAGCGAAAGAAATGGCTTCACTTACTTGCTCAAAGTAAAGTTGTCCTAAAAGAAAATGAGCTTTAATATTTCCTTCTTTGGCTCTGACTTTCAAAACTGTCATCAGATTTTTCAGTAACTTGGCCTGATTTGCCTTTTCTGAAGTCTCTTCATCAACTGGAATATCGTCTTCATTTTCAAGAGATTCCAATTCTTCCACTGGCTTATCAGCCAGAAGCTCCTCCTGAGAAGTTGAGCAATTTTCACCTGCAACTGGCAATAATCTCCAAGCTGAAAAAGATTAAAAATACAAAAATGACTAAATAACCCGCCAAAATTTACTTTACCTAAATACTTTGAATGTAATCGTATGCCTTCAACTACAGATAAAATGTATTGTTGGTCATTTTCATACAAAATGTATTGTTAGTGGTTCTACTACAATATTGTATTGGTGGTCATTTTACTATAAATAGAGTGGGGTCAGTCTACCAGGATTTTAGGAGAAAGAATAAAATACAACACAATTTTTTTATGCAATGTGAAGAAATGATCTTCATAGAAAAGGAAGAAGACAAAGCTTATTATGACAGTAACATTTATACAGTCACATACATGCTATTTATTATGACAGTAACATTTATACAGTCACATACATGGTATTTATACAGTCACATACATGCTATTTATACAGTCACATACATGCTATTTATATATTAAAACTCAATGTTCTTTGTTGTGGCTATCAAAAGACCAATAGTTTGAAATGATTTGTCGCAAGTGAGTCAGCAAAGTTTTGAAATGTTTTTGTTGCGAGTGAGGAAATCAAGTGGTATGGTACACCAATATGTGTGTGAAGCCCACGCTAGTGAAACGTGTGTGACTGATTGCGTGCAATAGCAATAATTTTAAAACACAGCGAACAAAGAGAGAGGAGACAGGACTTATTTTCGTCATGACATTGTATGTAGAAAAATCATTGCTGACTGAGGCATTGTCATAGTACATGTGTCTATCTTGTTGATCAAGGCTGGTCTGGTTCACTGACTGTCTTTTGCCAACTATCCTTCACTGTCATTGCTGATCTGGTTGCTGATGAGCTGCTTTTATTGCCATTTGACAGCTGGTGCTCAGCTCATGAATCCTATCTGAGTTTTGCATGGGAATGTACTCAGTAACCCGAGCCTGACCCATTTCCAGGACATTTGGAGTCCAATCATGTTGCTTGTCATATCTAAGAAACCACTTATTTAATTTGGAGCTGTGCTTGTACAAAATTGTAAAAAAAATTTTGTATCTGCTGAATTTAACGAGATTTATTTGTAGACATCTCTTGTTTGCGCTTCACTTATTGGCCATAAAATATAGGAGTTTATATCCTATAATAGGTACTGCTGGTAATTTTACTATGAATAGGTATTGTTGGTAATTTTTTTCTATAAATAGGTTTTGTTGGTAATTTTTTCATATAAAAATGTATCTTTATCCTCTGTAGTGTTTTGTTTTTGTTTGGATGGTGGGGAGGGAGTCATTATTTATCCATAGCTGTGACCCTAACAGGTGCTACTACTCTGTTAGGATGGATCTGGGAACAACAGCAATTAGGAGGTGGTTCCATGCTCTTCAAAAGCTCCAATCTCCCTATCAGATGCCTTACTGCATTAGTTTATCGTCATACCTGGGACTGAAGAGAAGAGGAGATTGAACAGAAGAAAATAAAGCCAATATGAATAATAATACAAAAGAGAAAAATATTAGAAACAGCTGACTGGTTATCATTCCTGTTTCTCATCAGAGCTATATTGAGGAATTAAAATACTGTGCACATTGATTCAAAGAAAGTGGTGATGGGGACAATAAGTATAAATGCGTGTCAATAATACAGTGACACTTATATGCTATAAGCAGATCACACTGAAACCCATAAACCACAACACAATACACAACAAAAGCTGGACTACAGCCACATCACACTGAAACACCTGTTCCTGTACACTTACAGAATTTAAGCAATGTCAAGCCTAGTCAATACCTAGATAGGTGTGCTTCGGAATACTAGCAGCTGTAAGCGTGGGTGTGCAGGTGGTGTAGTGGATAATGTCTTAGAATTGTTAACCGGAGAGTCCAATTCCAATTGGGTTCATTATATTCACTTACATGCAGAATACCCTTGGAAAAGGTATGAATCCACTTCTCTCCCCCAATTATGGGTTAAGACTTATTTGTAAATTATTATCTAAAAAAAATTCTTACAATCTAAAAATATTTTCTAGCTTTAAATGATGTGCAATGGGTTGATAAGCCATAGAAAATGAATTGATCAAATTAAAACTGAAGGATGTCTCGTGTTAATAGAAAATTGTTTCAAGGATTTTCAGATGAAAATCAGAATGTGTTCTACTGAACATAAAAGACAGATCTTTGTGATAGATCAATATGCATTGCTGTTTATTAATGAGATGTTTGGATATTGAAAATCCAGATGTAATTAAACACTTATGTAAATTTTCAAGTTGACCTTTCCTAATGCAGACTGGCACATGTTGGACAACTTTCTCTCGTCTACTTGCTGATTGGTCTTACCTATGTAGTCAGTGACACTTAAAGTGATAAATAATAAAACTTGTTTGAAAGATAGGTAAGCCAGCTTTATGAATAGATTTTAACAATGGCTGAAAAGAGAACATGATACAGAAATTGGCTGCAAAATCTAAAGTGCCATGGATGATACACCCATGGGTGAATAATCCGAAATCAGAGAAGTCTACTGAGCCATGCCAAGTTCAAGTCTTGCGTTTATTTGAACCATTATACTAAGCCTGAGGACTTCTGTCTGTCACAGTTCAAAGTAAGGAGAGGCAGTTCCTTTCTTCGAGATGACATGCGAGGTGGATTTGTTTTTGAAATTAGCTTCCTTGAGACAGAGCCTACAAGGCAGTAGATGGTTTGAATTCAGTTTCCTTCTCCTAGGCTGGTTGCTACCCAAGGCTATAGGACCCAGTCTGTGCTGCTATTTTACCCATAGCTGGGAGGAGAAGAGATGAATTCATATCTTTCCCAAGGGTATTAGCATGTAAATCAATGTAATGAACTAAACTGGAATTTGAACTCAGCTCTCTAATTCCCCAATTCAAGCTGCTAACCATTACTCCACAATACCTCTGTCTTTTATTAATGGCATTTGACAGTGTTAGACTTTTGAGAAGATGAGCAAAAAAGTGCTCCAACCAGTATTTAAAACAGCTACAGAACTTTATGTCTGTTTACATTATTTTTATTTTTCTAAATATAAAAATCTATATCGGACCATCCTTGATAGAACACTTCTGACCAATTCTTTCCAACCGTTTCTGTCTTCCACACCCAGTTCTTCCCTTCTGACTTTGGTGCTGTCTATGAGGTGATTGATGGAGGTTCTTGCTGGTTTCCCTCTTGATCTCTCTCCCATAATTTGGATCCTGTAATCTAAGCTGATGTACAACTTCTTGTTTACTTCACCAACAATGGACACTAAACTGCACCCAACTTTCATAGATTGCGTCCACAAACTTTGGTAGGTTCCCATATAGTTATTTCTTGGACATAGATTGATTCATTTTCTATGGCTTCTCAACCCTTTGCTGGTTATTTAAAGCCTGAAAATATCTTTTATATTATAAGAATTATTTCTTGAAATAATATGGGTTTAGTGATACAAGTCTTATTAATTAACCCATAGTTGGGGCGGGGAAAGAAGAGGGGTATTCATACCTAATCAGAATTTGATAAACAAGCAAGTAATTATAATGTGGATATAAAGTGAGGGATCAATTCTATATTACACTCAATATTTAAACTAATCCTCCACTTTGTGGTCACAGTCGTTTCTATACATTTATATTCCAGAGAATGTAAATAAATCTAAAAGACATGGCTGTGTAGGCAGTATTTCATTGATTGATTTGTTTTACAGTTTATCAACCCTTTAAAAGGTTATTTAAAGCCAGAATATATGTTTTAGATTGTAAGAATTTCTTTTGAGATAATAATAGTTTAGTGATACAAGTCTTACTAATTAATTCATAGTTGGGAGGGAGAAAAGTTGGATCAATACCTTATCAAAAATATGCTAATACATGAATACAACAAACCCAACTGGAATTAGAACCAGTGTTTCAACATGATGTGGCTGTAAGCCTTCTTTTGTATATATGTTATTTCCAATTGACATTAATTATTGCTCTCAATATAACGGAGTGTACGTCCAATAGATAAAGATCTAATCAACTTCAAGTAAATACTTCTGAACATGTTATGGTCTGGTTCCTTGTACCATGGTGATAGTCCAAGGTGGAACCAGTAAAGAAGAACTTGAAACACAGGCATGGAATAACACAGATATATTACAAACAGGAATATATACAGAGAAGTAGAAAGTGTTAGTATGAACAATCAAGTTTAGTAGAGAGAACAATGTAGTCTCGACCAGTATCACTATTCCAATGTCTTGCAGTAATTGTCTGAACGCGACTCCGTTTCGGACTGCCTCTGACTCGACTCGAACTACTGACTCGTTGCGTACTCCTGAGGTGCAGTATTTATTAAGTATGGAATAGTCCATTATTATTATTATGGGTAAGATCCCATAACAGAACATATACTTTCTGATTCTGATGAAGGTTCTTGCAGGTTTACCTCTTCATCTTTTTCATATAATTTGGATCCTATAAGTTAATGCACAACTTCTTGTTTACCTCACCAGCAACATACCCTAAACTGCATTCACCTTTTGTAGATTGTGTCCATAATCTTTATTAGGCTTGAATGTAGTTCTACATTGGCCTTATGTTGTTTCCAACTGACACAATGATTTTGTTGATGTCCAACTGCTTGACTTATTTTTAATTAATACAGCCAAGCAGAAAGATTATTGAAGCAGAAGAAAAAGGAATATTTTTAAAAATTTTTTTAAAAAAAAACAGCTTTTTTGAAGTTTTAGAATAAATTTTTTTTATTAGTTTTTATAATTACGTGGGTTTTCAGAAAAGGGGAAAAGTACATAGGCTGACCAAGATAAAAATGTAAGTAGATACACCAGTTGGTAGACTAAAAACTATGCAAGTGTACCAGAATACAACAGCTGGTCCCCAGAACTAATACTTTATGAACAGACTCCCGAGAGAATGCTTCCCTGATTGCTACAATTTTAACCTTTTCAAATCCAGAATCATCCATTATCTACCCATGTATGCTTATTATCTACAATTCTTATTTTACACCCATAAAACAACATCATTCAGTAACGCTCTAAC